CAAAGGAAGGAATTTGGAGGCAAAAAACGAAAGCTTAGAAGTAGAGCACAGAGATGGTGAAACGACCAAGCACAAGAAATACTTGATCTACGAAGGTGGTGCAGGGTCTGACTCTCAATTCTTGGCGATTCTGTCCCAATTGGCGGGCCACGAAGATTATGTCGATGATACTGCGGTCCCTTCGAAATCCACATTACCTCGCCACATGCGAAGGTGATTGACTGCTACGAGGGTGATTTGAGAGCGCAAATGCCTCTGTGGTTGTTACAGATTTGTCGATAATGCTACTTAATGTAATTGCATATGGATCCCACTATCAGTTAGTTTGGAAACTTGAAGAGACCGTCTGCCTCATCTTGTAGAATGGTCAGATATCAGTAACTCTCCCGCCCTTCCTAGAAATGGTTAAGAAAACTATTGAGACCTGTGTTTAAGCAACTTGCATATGTTTGCTTACTCGGCCGACGTTTGTGCGTTCAGGACGTAGATGGGCGGAAAACACCGTTCTCTCTCTCCCCCGCCGTCAGCAAAGAACACAAGTCTTAAGACTTAGCTCACTCGGACAATCCTTACCATCCTTTGGAGAGAGAAACAGCAGCTAATTGATCAGATATACGCACGTAAACTAGGGGACAGTCTAACCGCTAACGGCTTTTGGAAACGGTAGGTTGTAGGATCCCAAGATAGATCGCTATACAGTGGTCTGTGTCTTACGAAAATGGTGGTAATGGGGATTGTACGGATGGGGCAGCACGCGTGTGGGATGGAAGGTCAAACTCAAGGAATCGTAGAAAATAATTGAATTTCCGTCGTAAAACTTGACGTGCGTTTCTCTATGGCAACGGGAAGTTAGCACGATAATCAAAAAAACACAATGTAATTTTTAAAAAAACACTGGAGTTTGAATAGGCCGCCGATAGTGAGCTTACATCCGGTCAGGCAGCCAAGGCGATTCCAGCCAATAGGAACGACGAGCGATGAGAATTGTTCCCAATCCCACTATTTTTGGCTGACGCGCTTGAGTTGTCAATGAACGATAGCGAAACCAACTCAGCCAATCGCAGAATGCAGCACGAAGCCGGTGCAATGTAAGTATTAGCAGATACCGTTGTATGCTATTAAAGATACCTGATGAAGAGTGTCGGCAGATGCTTAAAAGGTAAATTTACGGAAGCAAAAGCTGTGTATGGGTGACTGGCAAGGTATATATGTAGATATTGAAAAAATCCAAAGCAAGTAAGCGAAGACGGCAGTGTAAATAGGAAATATGTGTTAAAGAAGAGTATTTTTAGGTATTTTTTCCTTTAAGCTTGCAGATCACTGGCCACAGTAAACAGGAACATTATACCACAACACCAAGGTTGACTTATGAAAACTGAAAATGCAGAAAGCGGAAAGCACTTAGATGCAGCTCGATGTCTGAGAAGAGACAATTGGAAATTGGCACAATCATTAATATTTGATTGGCACTTTTGCAGGGAACAAGGGCCACTAAGCACGAAGAAGATTTTACTGCTGTTCGGCCTGAACGCCATGGAGTTTAAGGAGGCACAGGAAATCTTTCCATCGCACATTGCGAAAGTATACACGGTGCAGCAGCAGCAGCAGCTTACAACCTACCGTTACATAATACACTCAACTGCGACGAACCTCAGAAACTTATGCATAAATTCGGTTGCCCATAGTCTCGTGAGCGGAATAAAGGCTGGTCTCACGGAAAATACGGCAGTTTCGAAAGAATCTGCGGCAATAAATGGCGCGAAGCGGGATTGTGTACTCGCTGCCACCGTCTTCGGTGGACGGCCAGGAATAAGCATCCTCTACTGAACTGACGGACGGCTACTCAACATCCGACGCACGCAGTCATCCATGCGAGTCGTCACAACTAGTGTTCACGGATGACGGCGCGCTCAACCTCACGACGGTGGCGGACGTGCAGTGGAGCTTGAACCCCTCCAACTTCGACTCCACAAACATCGCACTGAGCATCAACCCGGGGAAGGCGGTGGTTTCGCTTCAGCCAGCGCCATTAGATGGCGGTCAGCTCTCGTGGTCTTCATGATGCCCGCTTACTCATGCCGCCTTCTGTCCGCCTAGCAGGTCTGCCAATCACTGATTGTGCGCGTCCTTCGGCTCGTCCACGTCCTAACACCGATCGACATCTTTTCTCTCATCGATTGGCCGCAGCGGTACAAAGCTCTTGCGCAGGCAGACATTTCACAGCGAAACGGAAGTTTAAACCGCTCGCACGGCTGGCGAGAACGCTTGCTGTCTCTGCCTCCTGAGCCGCGTGCACGTTCTGCAGGATGCAGTAAAGTCTGTCCAAAAACTTTGTCTTCCCTGACTTTCGATTTGGGAAACTCCGAGTTATCAAACGTCATACACTGACAAGTGCATTGCGCTCAGGACTAACATAACTAACTCGCCTTGCATCTGTGGATAGATTCGTCTGCTCGGAAAGTACAATCTCAGAGGAGAAGCAAGGGGGGGTAAGGTGTGGTTATGTAGCCCCACCTGGTGGACACAATACTGTTGGGGTTAAGGTTAGGGTTAGGGGTTAGATTTTGGTGTTAGGGTTAGGGGCTAGGGCTAAAGGTTAGAGTTAGTGTTAGGACTAGGGCAATTATTTTTCAACCACTCAAAGTATAACCGCGCATTCCCAATAGCACTTCTTTTGCATACAACTACTTGAACTCGTCGCCTGTGCGTTCCCCGGCTCGGCAAGATCGCAGTTGGTAGCCAGGCCCCGTATTATAGGCGGCTGGGGGGTTGTTTACTGGGGCTATTTTGTGGGGTTCCCTAATCACATCTGACCCATTTGGCTTCCGTTTTACGCCTGAGGTTAGGATTAGGGTACTGGTTAATGGTTTCCGATTTTCGGGTTAGTGTTATGCCTTTAGGCTTAGGTTTTCGGGTTACGGTTAGGGTTTGAGCGTACGATTAGGTTTCAGTATTACGGATAGGTTTTCCAGTTACGACTATGTCTAAGGACTACGGTTGCTTTTACAATTTCGGTTATGGTTAGGAATGTGGTTGCCGTTAAGGTTAACGGTTAACGTTTAAGGTTGAGGTTAGGGTTATGGTTAAGGTTAGGATTAGGGTTAAGGTCGCCGTTCGCTTCCCCATTCCTGGCTACCAACTGCGATCTAGCCCCCGACTCCGCTTGTAAAAACCCCTATTACTACCGGTCCCGTATTACAGGTGGCTAGAATATGTTTACTTCAGGTGGGACTGCATAAGCACATCTGACTGAAGAAGGAGAAGAATGTATGGGCACTGAAACAGCAGATGCATAAGTACGAGCTTTCGCAATCATGCAATCTCAAAAAGCACCAAGGTCGACGATGAAATTATCAGTTGGATTTCCAAAGCCAGCCAGAATTTCGGTCGGTTGCATCACCGCGGCGGAGGCATGAATAGTTAAGCAAACAAAATGAACCGAGTTTACCTCAACTGTCTCCAAAAGTACCAATACTGAGGTGACAGGACTGTTTTCTTGACACGAAACTCCCGGAAGGAACCGGCGCCTTGGGTTTCCTACAGCTGGCTCACAATCACTCCGCGACCGTCTTTGTGGTGGGCGAAGGGTCGAGTGCAAGAACATGCGCATCTAAAGTCTAGTCGCTCACGTGATAAGGAGACCAGATCGGGTGTGTGGCACGAGTAGGCGGGCCGTTTTGCCGTCGCAGAGAAGGGGACACGGCTGCTAAAGCATGAGTTTTATTAACCTGCCATTTCGGATTTACGCTCGAACCCATCATCGGAGACAGAATCGGATAGGCAAAGTGAGCCGCACAGGTATTGCAATATTCACAGATTGCACTTGCTGTGCCACTGCATGTCTATCAAAATTGACAGCTTATACACTCATCACGGGTGGTTGCACGTGGTGCAATAATGGTTTAATTGACCAGAGGCGAGTTGCTAGTTGTCGGACTTTTATCGCCCGTGTGGGTTCCCGGGTCATTTGGCTCGTCGACACTAGCACCACGAACGGTGGTCATTCACGCGCTCTCCGCGTGGCTAAATACTTTGCCTAGGCAAAGTCTCCGAGCAGAATATGGTAGCCGGAGGCTACTACGTTTGCTGATCGGCTGGGAGTAGGAGAACCATGACTCGAACAACTCGCGGCCCATGCAGTTGTCACCTTAAGAGAATTCCGGCCTCACCGAACCTGGATGTGTGGGCACGTCCCGTCGAATGAGCCACGACCTGAGGTCTAGCGACATTCGTCCTGCCCACTGCTGCTACGTGTTCAACCACTTGCGTCCGGATTAGCCTCTCGGTTTCTCCGACTTTTTTGCTTTGTTCACGACGACTCAATGCGTTTTTCTATCACGACAGTGGGTCTTTCGGTCTCATGACTTGGTGTCTGATAGTTGCCTCTGGTCTATGTGCAACCCTAACTCCAAGTGGTGTGAACAAACGGTTGACAGCTTCCGAAACGTTCCTCGCGCAAAGGGGGCGCTTGGCAAAATTTGTGGGCCGGTTGAATATTATCTCTCGTCGCTTTTGCGCATGCATCGGCTAACTAAATTTCTCAGGTAACTATTTGCTCTAAGCACCTGTCGAAGATATTTTAATTTAGCAACTTTGCCGTCCAGTTCACTGCAATGCGTCTCCGCATGCTGGTATAGGGCCTTTACACAACTGCGTTTGTGGTTGACTGGGTAGTTTCTGTTGAAGTTCAGTACGTGCGTCGCATTCGTCGCTTTTCTGAACACTTTGGTCTTTGACCACCACAACCTTTGCGGCAGACGAGGACATCAAGGCAGGCCAGCTGATTGTTCTCTTCCTCCTCCATCGTGAATTGTATGTCCGGCAAGACCGCATCCCCTTGTGCATGAACCACCCGTATCTGGTTTTGTCTCTGATGATGGGTTCAAGCAGGAATCCGAAACGTCAGGCTAATAAAGCTCTTGTCCCAGCGATCGTGTCACCTTCTTCGAGACTGCTTCACAGTAAACTGCTTAGCCGGAAAGACGGTACTGAGATGTTCCTTAAAAGATGACGACAAAGGTGTTGTCCGCATACAAAGCCAAGAATTTCGGTCTGTGATGCCAAACGACCAGAAAATCTAACTTTCGCAGGACCACCTCGGCTATGAGTCCCGAAATTGGCGAGCCAGTGGGCGTGCCTTTCACCTGCTCGTAGATTGTTACGTCGAACGTAAAGTACGTCTTCAGACAGAACTCCAGGAGCCGGAGGCATTGAACGTGTCTTAGGCGATTCTCCGTTTCATCGTATTTACTTTGCAGGAGCGATTCGATGGTCTCGACCGCCGTATTCTGGGGGAATAGAAGTAAAGGTGATGTGAAAACAAAAGACACCATGACCTCGTTTGGCAAAAGACTTACCCCTTTAATTTTCGCTAGGATCTGTGTTGAAGAGCTGACTGTGATATCCGAATCAGCCGTCAGAAATTTAAGACGTCGAAACGGCCACTTTGTCAGTCCGTAAATTGATACACTGGGCCAGGGAGGAGCGTCCCCTCTGTGCACATTGGGACGTCATAGAATCGGACCGAAGCTGCGCCTTACGTCCGTTGACCAGCGTTATTGCACCTAGATTCTCCAGTATCACAACTTCGTACTGGGTTCGCATGCCAGTGTCTTTACTGCTTGTGTTGCTTCTGGGAGATAGAACTAGCGATCCTCTAGTGAATCTTTTGTTTTTGGAAGGAGTCTGTCTTGTCTAATACAGCCATGGAACGTCCCGTGTCCGCAAACATAATAACTGCTACTGCGCACAATTTTACTACCAGCGATTTGACACTGGAGAATCTATCCTCACAGTACATCGGCGGACCAGTCACCGCAGTAAATCTAGTGCGTATAAGTTTACCATGATGAGCTAGAAGTCGTGTGTTGGAAGGTTGCCAACTGACGGGATGACTCTGCCCTTCTCGGGATTGAGATTTAGACTTTAGGGCCTCCTAACTGTGGCGTTTATGACCCTCCGGCTGACGTGAGGTCCGATCCAATCATACAGTCGCCTGGTACACGTAGTGGGGACGAGGTCACGTGTGGCAAATGTAGATGGACTGTTGGAGTTTTGCGAGCATTGGATTTGCGTCTACGTCGTGTGGTCTTAGTATTGTCTTGCATCGGAACAAGGCGGGCGAGGAAGGAGAGGGCGCGATAAATGTTGTGTGAGTCTGCCCCCCCCGCCATAAACTAATTTTTTCCCAATTCGTAGGGACTACGCTCACACCATTGAGTAGATGGTGGGCATCGTTGTTTGCAACGGTCGAACTGTCAGCATCGTCATCATCATCCTCATCATCATCATCATCATCATCATCATCATCATCATCATCATCATCATCATCATCATCATCATCATCATCATCATCATCATCATCATCATCATCATCATCATCATCATCATCATCATCACCACCATCCTCATCGTCGTCGCCGTCATCCTCCTCCTCCTTCTCCTCCTCTCCCTCGTCCTCCTCGTCCTCCTCCTCCTCTCCCTCCTCCTCCTCTTCCTCCTCCTCCTCCTCCTCCTCATCATCATCATCATCATCAAGCAGCTCTCTATCTGCATAATCATATTGATAACCTGGACTATAAACCGATTTCCACAAAAAACATGAGGTTACGTGTACTTTAAAATCACGTGAAAGTGGAGCTCGCTTATATGACCTGATGGCAGAAATGAATACCTGCTCCCTGTTTGGCCTAGAGATCTGGATCGAAGCTTTCAAATGACATCAAGGAGTAAATAATCTCAAGATAAATCAACAAGCACAAGGGAGATAGACCTGACCATTTCAGACTTATTCTCTATCAACAAACAGTTATGCCCGATTGCAGAACGTGGAGATCTGGAATGTACGCCTGGATTCGCGTGATTCGAAGTCTAGTAACTTGTTTTTTTCTCTCGGAGAAGTAGCGATTGTAGCACTCCCTGCAGACGAAAAGACAGCAGTTCGAGTTGTCTAGGCTTGAAACCTAAAAGGTTCAAAGACTATGGCCAGGGTTCAATGCCCTTAGGGCCTGCTCTGATGCCGAATTCTTATTTAAATTCTCACCCAAGCCGCTTAGCCACGAGAGAGATCTTCACTTAATTGCTAGGCGGCGTCCATAATTAATGCCCTCGTTGTTCTGGACGCTATGCACCAACGCACACTCAATCAAACGAACCTAGCAACCTTCTATGCCAACCACCAAAAATAATGACGCCTGAGACTCTGTCACGCAAACTCTCTTGTGGGCGTGTGAAGCCAGAACGTTTTTTGAGGTCATTGAGCAAAATGATATACTGCACGCACAATAAACCGGGCTATATTTATTCAACAGGCTACAACTGATATGATGCTTTTTTGATGAGGAGAAAGAGGTAAATTGCAAAGTCCAGTTTAGGCATCCGCCTTCCAATTACAGCGTTGTTTTAAGGGATGGGAAGAATCAGTCACCTAGTACCTCCGTCTCCTACACAGTGCGGTCATGTTACGGAAAAAAGATAGTTTGTTATCGTTGGATTCACTGAAATCGTCTGCCTTGGACGCCTGGTTCTGTTTCCGGTGGCTACAAAGGGAAGACTTACAGTGTCACATAATCTAGTAAGAATCCAGAGGATAAGGCGGCCTATCGAACAGGAAGCCGTCTTCATGTCAAGAGAAGGGGGTTGCAGTTGAGTACCCTCAAGGATTAACTCGGATGAGCTTACGCCGTGGTGCAAGTATGCAATCAGCACAACACCAACGCCACACCAATTTTATGCAAGGACATTAGTTAAACGCCGAGGTGGAGAGCAACATCCTTTTATTCCTAAAAGCAGAGAGCTGGTCGGTCCAATCCACACGCCAACGCCTTGAGTGTTTATTTTGACCGTACTGTAAAAAAGTCAGCGACCTCCGCGAGATTCGAATCCACAATCACAAGGTCGAGGCTTGAGCACAGCCACCTGAACTACGGCACTTCGCGGGGAACAGTGAGCTTAAGCGTATTTGGGTCAAGTTACCCGCCCAGCCTACTGCAACGTATGAAACCCACCAAATCTGACACAGTAAGCTGACTGCTAAACAAGATTTTCCAAGCAACCAAACCAAGCTGACTCCCAGTCTCATGTAAATAAATAGGTGTTTTGGTAGATTTTGAATAATTTATTTGGACTACAGCGAGAAAATCTTGATGACCATGCGTTGCAGTAGGCTGGGTGGGAAACTTGACTCAACTGTGATTAAGCTCACGGTTCTCATTGGTATCGTGTAGATCAGAGTGTTGACTGTACAAATGCCTTGCCTACCGAGACCGCTGTTTTTCAAAAGAGGATTTAATAAACTATTCAAATCTGCCAAAACACCTGTTGGCGAATTATTTGTTCTCATTTCTTGTTTTCAATTTCAAAGAATTAGCACCCATAGACGTTGGAAAGTTTTCTGTCAGTCAGGTATCTAGTCTTCAGCTCATCTACGCGGTGTTACTGTACTTTTTTCCAAACACGAAGCGGCTTTTGCTCGGGGTTTATCGGTAAAACTTCCGTGTTATTGATTGCCCATCACCTATTAGAACACCAAACCGAATTTCCAAGGCAAAACAGAAGACCCGTACTGTGCGTCATACAAGGAGACCAGATCGATTAAGGCCACTTCTACATAAACTTGAATAGTTCCAATCTCAGTTTGCAGAGCTTGAGTTCGTGACTCGGTTAGTACATATGTCATGTAGATAAATAGTCAGCCGAACAACGTTTCAAATCATTGGTCTTTTCGTCCCGACAGAGAGGATTAATCCAAGCCCCTTGATTTTTTGGCAAAACCCAGCCTTCCTGAGGCAACGGTATCGTATGTGGCCCTACTGATAAAACGAGAAGCAAGGAAGGCTGTAAACATTAAACTGAAAATTAAAATCACAAACCTAATTTTAGCACATATACGACGGTTGGACCGTCGATTCCGACGATGTCCACCGTGTGCTTCATACCAAGGCGCAACAGGCACGATGACTTGCGCGTGAATTACTTTATAGTGATAGTGGACTTGCGAAGAATCTGCTGCACTCCCTCTTCCCCACTCCCCACATGGACCCGGCGTCAAGATAGAGTCAAGAAAACTGGAGGGAGAAGGGCATAGGTGGATGACACGGTCGAGCCCGCACCTTGGCGCTCCACTCCGCACCCCCCGGTCCACAACACACACTTGACCAGGATTTTTCACCAGCAAGAACAACATGCCAACAGGGGGTCAGAAGGACAATGATGACTGGGCAGCCACGCCCACCACCTGTATACCCAGCGGGAGTGCACGCGCATCTACCGGCAGGGGACCAGCTGTCAGGGAATTGACAGCGCATACCAGGCTGCGAGGGCCACTGTTTGGCGATACTGGCATAACACACGCTTACAGACCTTTTTATCAGCACTTATACACAGCTCTAACCTCAACCTAAATCCCTAAAACCTGCTCTAACCCTAACACTGACCTTAACCCATTAACTTAAACTTAGTCCTATCCCTCAACTCAATTATTAATATTAGGGTTAGACTGGTACTAACGTTGCTTTTACAAGAAGGCGTAGTGTGAGATTCAGGGAATGGGTCAGTCTTAACTTTAATAATACTTTCGGAGTTATGTTCCCCTTACCATATATTGCCTTTTGCAAGAAAAACCTAGCAAAACCTACCTAAATAAAATAAGTAGGCAAGTTTTAGGTATAACGACTATGAGGGGCCACATACGACACAGACGTCCTTTCTGATCGCCTGTATGTACACGGCAGCCTCCGAACCGGGCTCTGGGTGCTCTGTCCTCAACCAAGCGATGCAACAATTCAAACGTAGCGAGTGGGCGGTAAGGAAGACATGGTGGCCTGTTTTATCACGCTCTTCTCCGCAATGCACTATCACATCTGAAGTAAGCAACCTCAAGAAACTTGGCTTACTTCGACTATCAGCAACTCGGAACTTAACGTGGCTGTACCTTGACAAGGATAAATTCGTCATGTCAAGCGGCGAAAATATCATCGGTTACCTCGTTGTTTCGCGCATTAAATACTCGCCCGCATCTAAAAATCGATATTGTACGTTATGCAGTGTCCACTGAACATCTGGTTTGGCAAGGTCTTATTTCGTAGCCGCACCTGTTAGGGATTGGGGTTAGAGGTTAAGGGTTAGAGGTTGCGGTAAGGGGTTGGGCTGGGGCTTGTATACTGCAGGCAAGGCTACGCAGTAAGATCCGACCTTTGGTTTCTCTAAATTCCGGACCTAGATTGATCATTCCCGGACAGAGGCCAGAGCAAAGAGAAAGGACCACAGAACTCAAGCACCGTGACCCAACGACGCAGACATTCAAGCCTCGTTATCGTGTCTACGTCGTTCGTGGACAATAAGGACACGAATAAGCTTCGTTGGGCATCTCCGGACCCAGCGCAATGTCAACACGACCAAACTACCTCTAATATCACTTAGATTCACCTCCGCCCTAATCACCAACGTGGACACTCCTCAACCTCTGTGCACCATCCCTACAATTGTTTCCCCCTGCCCATCAGTCGTGTGAACTGAGTTTCGAACTCTGCCCACTGAGACCGCACTTTGAAAGCACACATCGGCTTGATCGATCCCCTGAAGTCTATCGTAGGGCAACCCCGAACCCCATGCCTAGAGCCCTAACATATACCTGGTGTTTACATCCATCTCCAACGCCGTCCTACGGCATTCGGACACCACATGAGCCGATTTGGTCACGTGCTTTCTCGGGAATCCGCCACAAAACTGCTGAATCCAAGCCCTCATGCAACATCTCCTCTCTAGCCGCACAACGAAACACACTAACGCTGCACATGGGTCAGTTTGGTCACCTGCATATGCAAACTGGCAATCAGCACAACAATTCACATAATTAATTAAAGAGCCACGCGATGCAATTTGCCAGGCTCGTTATGACGAGTGAAGTCCCTTACATGAAATCATGCACATCTCGCACATGTAAGAAGCGTACGAACTCTCGTTTAATAAACCACCACCACCACCACCACCACCACCACCACCACCACCACCACCACCACCACCACCACCACCACCACATTGCGAACGCACGCTGAATCAAGTATCGACTTGGGCAGTCGACAGTAATCCGGCAATGCGACCGGCGAACTAGTGCCTGGGGCCTCAGCGTACACCCGTCACTCAAACCCCACCTGACGCGATGATTCAGGACGTTCAGACATCGTATGCACTTAGTCGGCCAAATGCGTGTACGTGAAAACCTGCAGTAAAGCAGCACAGTCTAGGCTCCCCCCCTACAACACCTTACCCTACCTGTATATACAAGCACACCAAGACTACACAGAAATCTACACGGTCGCACACGTACGCACGACAGCTATCAGCAACACATTACTCATGCAGCGTCAAGGCAATGCAAATTGCCAGCGGTGATTAAACGTCGTGGGCAGAGATGTAAATATCTCACTTACGAGAGAAAGAGAGTCAATCTACCTTTTTAAGGCTGGTCGTGTGGAGCGAAGGAGTAGTGAATATACGGAAAGCGATAGATGACGACGACCTCAAGTCAAGTCACTCATTGCACCTACAGTGCGTGACCGATCTGATGAAATTTTGGCCGAAATTCTGAAATGCGTTTTCGATT